GGAGCCCCTCAGAGGTTACTGAACATATGAGACTCGTATGTGTAACTGACCCCGAGATCTCACCTTCCTTAAAAGAAAATCCCAGCCATCCTGAAATGAATTACTGGTTAACTACTATTAATATGCCATAGAGCTGGAGAGTCGTCTACAGCACTGCAAGATCAATAGCAGTATTTATCGTGCATCATATTGATCTTCTATGAAAGAGTGGGCCATATTTCACACTGTGTACATAGTGCAAAAAAGTAGCATCGGTTAGTAAAGACATAGAAAAGAGCTTAGAGATCCAAGGGCACAACTGCATGAAGGGATACTCTTGTCTCACTGCAAGAGTGTTGCTCACACATGGAGAGCCTCTGATGGCCCTACGTTGTTAGCTTTGGTTTTCCAAAAACTGAGCAAGAAATTTAACCACTGTTTTTGTGGTTTGCTCTTCTAATTTCTATTCCTTCTTGTACAGGTTCAGTCCCATGTTTTTAATCATGTTGTGTTTGCAACTTGAAAAATGTTAAAATTTGTGGCTAGTGGCAGGGGAAAGACCCAGGAGCCGTTCCCAGTTTTTCCGTGTAGAGGGTGAAGACAGCCCAGATGTGAGCCTAGCTCCTGCAGCAGCCCTCTTGTTTTAAAGGACAGGTAGAGGGGCAGAGTGGGAGTCTGATGACGCAGCTGCAATTGCCTTGTTGGGAGCTTAATTCCTTTTGAAAATTGTTCCCCTTACAGCAATGAACCTCAGGGCTGCCTCTCATGTGCAGGTGGTGTAATGCGGCAAGCTCTGAGGCAGGGGAGGACCCTCTCCTTGCCAGCAGAGCCATTCAGCTGTGTTGAATTACATATGGGAAAAAAACAAACAAACAGCTGAAAGCTGCTTTCTTAACCTTGGTATTCTCTCCTTGCTGGCAGAATACGCAGCCATGGGCTGACAGCCTACCTTGAGGAGCACAGCTTGCTCATTGAGTAGCTGGAGGTGAGGCTGTAGGAAGGTTCAGCCTGTAGGTATGAGTCAAGAATTAACAGGTACAGGCCAAAGACTAACCAGAGGAACCCCAGTTAGGTAAAGTTTAGTTACAGCCATTGCTTTGAATAGATCTGCCCTATCCTGTTAATGGAGGCCATACCTGAGGGTGCCTCAGGGCAGAAGCAGTGTGTTTGCCCACCAGCTGACTAGCAGACTTCAGATGGAGAGAACTGGCATGGATAGGGCAGAAACTCCTCTGGGTATATGACAAACATGAAATCTTCTCTGGGCAGATTTATGAGTGCCTTGTTTTATCCCTAGGACAGTTTAGCAGGGTTCTTTCACCTATAATTCTGCTTCCCTTTACACTTAGCACTTTGATGGTACCACATCTAGGTACTGACTGGTCTGATCTGCTTTTCTTCCTGAGCTTTCATGGCTCAGGAAAAAAGGGAAGACTTTCAGAGCTTTCTCCATTAATAGCAAAACTCTTTCCACATGTGTTTACAGCTGTATATGTTCTATACGTGTTGTATGTGTATGATGTATGCATTAGTAATAGGAGATTACATGATTCAGCCAGGCTGGCTGGAGTAAGAGCATAGAGCTGGACTGCAGACCTGTCCTTGACCCATTGCATGCCAGAGTCACTGAAGACCTGCAGGAGCTCAGCTCTCCAGAGGCATCCTTCCCCCAGGCTGGCTGGTTCAAGACTGCGAGGAGTTTAGAGTAAACCCCGGGGTGCTTTGACCTGGTCTGATCTGACATCCACCCACAGTCCGATGGCCTCATACCTGGTCTTGTATGAGGCGTCTCCCTTCTCCCGGGTGAAGCACCAAAACTCCTCCAGATGCTACAGAAAAAAAGCAGAGACTTGTCCCAAAGCATGACATAAAACTCATCTCCTTGATTTGGGTTAAGGTGTGAGTTGAAGCATGTGACAGCTTTCTCCTGCTGTTTGTTAGATGTCACCAGTTCTTCCCAGAAGCACAATGTGGCTTGGGATTTAGGAAAAGATAAATCTGGTGGCTGCCTTTCCAGCACTGTTGCAAGGGTCCTGGTTTTGTATGGAATTGGGTGTGTCTGTCCCTTCACTTGAACTTTCCCTTTTCCCATGGCTTCTGTTTTTTTCTGCTAATCTGCTGGGGCACATCCCTGTGGTATAGCTGCGGCTCAAAAGGGTTGCATGCCAGGAATGTTACAAGGACCATGGATTCCATAATTCTGCATTTATAAGAGAAAAATGCCCCAGGCTGCTGACATCTGGGGATTTATGTGTATGGGTGCAGACTGAATGAGCAGGTGACTGGCTCTGCAGACTCAATATTGAGTCTTGTGAGGGCAGGGGCAGCTGATAGTACTGCAGAGGCTGTTGGAGGGTGGAGGGACAGCAAAAGGAAAGCAGAGAAATGTTTTGGTGGATTTGTAACAGCCCTGAGCACTGAACCACTGGTGGCTGTTGTTCAGATAGAGGGAAAATGGGTGGCAGAAAGTCGACCCTTTTGTATCTCCACTGGCAAATGATGGTAGCCCCAAAACCAGATAGGAGGTAGAAAGAGAAAAGAAGGGGCAAAAAGCATTTTTTTTTCTTGTACTTAACGCAGCAGAAGACTGCCACCACTGCTTTTTCTTCAGGAAGGAGCTGTAGCACTACCAGCCAGTGGGACATCACAGAGGCGTCAAGGGTGCTTGTACAGCTTCGTGGATAGCTATGGGCAGGTCTCTGTTTTAGCCTAGCTAGTTTTGTCCCATGTTAGGAAGTGTAGTGCATGGGACCTTTCCAAAAGTTGCAGCAAAGCTGCTACTTTCTCTTGCACTTTTTTAGCTGCTGACACCTCAAGGTGGGTCACCTTTCATGTGTAGTTGTAAAGAGACCCCATCTTCCTGGTGATAGTGTTCTTAGTGGAAAGTGTTATCCTTTCTTATTATACACTGGAAGTGGAAAGACATGGCAGGGGTTTCAGAAGAAATTGTACATCTGTGCAGCATAGCATAGCCCTGCCAGAAGTTCTGTGGCCCACTGCCTTGCATATCTCCGGCTCGTGTGAAATCTGTATCCCAACAGGGAATGTGTTGGAGGATTTTGCTTTTGGCTTCTATGTTATGTCATGAAAAGCAGAACAATTGGACCACAGATTTATTTGGGAGCTAAGTTTGGGGAGGGATGTCAGGCTTTTGCTGTGATTTATCAGAATTGTTGGTTTTTCAGTGCCAGTGGTCTAAGTTCTGATTTTATCAAAGACGTGGAGAAAAGGACTTCAAGAGAGGCCTGCCCAGAAGCAGAGTAATAGCAATAATAAAATTTCATAAAAATATGCAAGTGCAAAAATTGTGAAGGGAGTGTCTTTTGTGGCATTGCAGTCTCCTCTGTTCTGCGTGCAAGTTTGAGAGGTACTCCCAATGAGAAAGGCCATCTGGCTTCGTTCTTGCTCGCATGGGGCTGAGGGGCAGAAAGATCAGATGCAGGAGGCATGAAACTCTCTGATAATAAACAGGGATGGTTCATGGATGTCAGTGAAATGTCAGCAGAGCTGAATGGGGGCACTGTATAATTTAGTGACGAACGGTATCCATGATTGCAGAGATCTTTCATTACAGCTGAAGAAGTGAAACAGAATGGCATTATAAATGGCAATAATTGATAAAACCAATCATTTGATCTAGTGTGCAGCTAATGCACAGTATAGTGGAAGTTGTTACCGTGACTCTGAGAGGCTGGTAATTGCCACTATATTCATTTTGCAGGTAAGTAACCAAGGTACAGATATACCAAGAAAAAAATGCAAAACTATTTAGGCAATGCCTGCTTGACATCTCTCTTAGGGCTGTTGTTTCATATGTGCCCATTGTCCATGCTGCTTCATCTCCATATTGATAGCCCTTGAGAGCTCATCAGTATGCTTCAAGTCACATCCTTTTCTCCTCCACAGCAGAGTTAGACAGCATGGGAAGAGCAGGAGCTCCTTGCAGAATGGATCATTCTGCTGCAAACACTTCAAGGGTTGGTGCAAGGCAGGGTTACAGGGATGTGAGCTGCCTCGATGGTGGGATTTACAGTAGCTCCCTTGTTTAATAATCTGTGAATGTATATTCACCACGTGGTTAGCCTTTACAAGGTTGTGGCAGTTTTTTGCTGTGTCTGGCTCAGCCAGGTAGCTGATGCAGCATGTCAGAGGGAGCTTGGCCATGAAACAGTACCAACAAGCACCTTCTTTTTTTGTCCTTGCAAATACTGCAAGGCACTGGTTGACATGAGTGAGGAAAATGGGACCTGAAACATCCTCTGAGAAGCACTTCCATCTGAGGGAATGACGAGGGGGGCAGACCTTTGCAGGGACAACCTGCAGGGAGTGCAGCTGGCTGGCCTCCGGGTCTGGAGGCAAATTACGAGCAATCCCCTCCTCATCCTCTTCGGCTATTGGTGTGGGAGCTTGTTTTGCTGTATGATTTTGTAGGTAAACAGGAGCTAAGTTTGGTTATGGAGGCTGCGCAAGGATTGAGGGCCTTGCTTGCTGAGAGGTAGCATGTGGGTTTCTGAGACATCATGTCTGATCACGTGGTGCTTTCCCAAATGCAGCTTCTCTTGGCGTTGTGGCTGTTTACCCTTTCTAGAGGCATGTTCAGAAAGTGTTCTCTCACATGTAAGGCAATGGCTGGAGAGGGGTCATCCTGTAGCTAGAGCCTTCCAGCTTCCAGGGAGTTCAGAGAGACTGGGCACACTGTTACAGTTTAAAAATAATCTTTAGCATCTTTAGCTGCTGTAGATCATCGCTAGGTCAGTTGAGGACTTAGAGCTTTGTCTTAGCCTGCAGTTGATTTTGTCTCCTGTTTTGCAGTCTGCAGTGTGTGTAGGTAGTGGCCTTGGGCTTTGAGTGGACATCAGTCCACTTGAGTTTCCACCAGAGATCCAGCTGTGTTTCCCTTTCATCTCCCTATTTACTCCTCTGTCGAGCCTTAAGGAGAAGTAGTAGCTCATCAGAAGGTGGAAGGTAATGGCCTTCATGGAACCTCCTTTTTCACAATGGCTTGTTTTTTTCTTTTCCAGAGGGACGGATGCTCGTTCAGGACATCCCTTCCATCCCCAGCAGAGGGCACTTGGAGAGCACTTCAGATTTGGTTGTGGACTCCACCTACTACAGCGGTTTTTACCAGCCGTCTCTGTATCCTTACTATAACAACCTGTACAACTACTCCCAGTACCAAATGGCAGTGGCCAGTGAGCCTTCCTCAAGTGAGACGGGGGGTACGATTGTAGGGTCGGCCATGAAAAAGAGCCTTCGAAGCCTCCCAGCAGCATACATGCCAAGCCAGTCGGGAAAACAGTGGCAGGGGGGAATTTACAGAGGTGTTACACAGAGAGTGAGGTGGACAATAAGCTGTTTCTGACCTCCTCCAGAGGTCAGAAACCTCCATGGCTTTATGGCAGTGTAAACCCAGAACCAGATTGCCGTGTGGGATTAGGACCCACATTAGAAAAGTTAGCTGAAATGGGTTGTTATGAAGCAGCACAAGGAAAGCAGTGACACAGGTATAGGTAGGTTACCACAAGCACAGATTAAAGGCGCTGGCTTGATTTTATTTTCTTAGTTAGGTCATAGTAGATTGTGGGCTGTCTTCTGGAAAAAAAGTCCAGCTGAATTACCCAACGTAGCATCCTAGGAGCTTCAGATGTCATTTCAGAGACGCTTTGCTCTTCAGGAACCTGTTCTTTTCTCTTCCATCTTTCATATCCAAGGCACTGAAGTGCCCAGGCTGTTGTGCGTGCAGTGGGTTGGTAGCAGTCAGTTGAATGTGACATGAGGTGTTGCTGATGCTGTGTCCTGGCACTGTCAGCTCCAGGGCTTGCAATTTCAACTTGAGTAGCCCAAGTTACAGGTTGCGTCTTAAGAGGCTCTTTGCACCAGAGCTCTGTGTTAGGTAGGGTATAAAGCCAAACAAGCCCTCTCGCTCTGTCTTGACAGTGGTAACCACCAACTCAGTACCTGTTGGAGACTGGAAAAAAGGGAAATCTGCCAAGGAAGGAGATTCCTGGCAAAGTAAGTGGAGCCATTTCAGTGACCCTGAGGCTGTTTGATCTTGAGCTGCAGTGGTGGTTTTTTGTCTTCGATTGAACTTGGGAGACTACACCCTCTGAGTCTCTGTACAACCATGTCCCTTGTACAAGGGCAGGGGAGGGCAGACCTTTTCTGTAGAGCATCAAGACAGGGCACGCTGCCTTCTGCAAAGGCTCTGTTGTGAAACCACTCAACAATGAAAGATGAAATGTCCACCAAAACCTCCTTTCTGAAGGGAACAGATGGGTCATCCCCTTTCCTGAGAGAGGATTCCTTTAGCAATTCTGGCACAGGGACCAACTTTAAAAGGGCATTCTAACATCTAATACCCAGGCGCTAGACTAAGACCGGGGTGATTACAATTACTATAGTGATCCACATCACCTTCAGTGAGGCCTTCCTATCAATAGACACTTTTTTCATGGAAAGGTCCTTCTGAAAATGAGGAGGCCTCCTGGGGCAACAGCTGACAGGTCCATTAATTTTAAGATGATGGCTTTACAGCAGTCTGCATTTAGTATTATTCCATGTCCCTTTTTTGCCATGAGTACAACCGTATTGGGAAAAGAACTGTCTCCCTTGCTTCTGCTATGTGAACCCATGCCATAGGAGCTTTCTTCACTCAGTATGTTGATAGGCTTCACTGCAATCACCCTCAAATATAGGGAGGTACACCCTTTGCAGGTAGGTTAGTTGATAGCATCCTCACTAGCTGCTGAATTTTGTCACCAGATCAGGGGGAGAATTAGTTGAGGCAAGCTGGGGATGGGATCTTGCACATGATAGTGAGGTGAGGTGCCAGTGCTTTTTTAGCTTTTTCATTTTGGTTGGTTGGGTTAACCACATCATAGCAGAGTATTTCAGATAGAAAGTTATTTCTAAAGCTTTTGCTGTACCGAGCTTGTAAGACTATGCAGAGCTGATGCTTGGAGACACTGTCACGACACAAACAAGAGGCAGCAACATTCATCTTACAAAAATAATGTTCTTGCAGACTGCTAGTCCCGTTATGCCAGCCAGTAGAGACTTCTGTGATTTTACTTGCTTGGGGAAAAGGAAAGTAAATAACAAGTATTGACTATCCTAGTGCATAGTGTTTGAGGAAGAGGTACATGAGAGTATGTTAAAATATGTTAAAACTTGGAATTAAGATGATGTCCTCTTGATTCTGTTGTCATATACTGTCATCTGAAAATAGACTGTCTGTGTAAGTCTTGGTCTGGAAGGTTCATTGTCTCACCATGAGATTGCCTGTTTCTTGTGGGACATTTGACACCCCTTAAAGAAATAAAATAGTGTGTTTTCCTTGCATTTTTCTCTTGAGGCCCTGCAGAATCTGTAACTGATTTCTGCTTATGTGCCACTCAAATTAGTGGGATACCAAAGAGGTAATTAAGGAAAAAAGAGGTGGTTGTTTCCAAAAAGGACCATTTTCTTTCCACCAGCAGGCTCCAAGCACTAGGTGTTCATATTCACCTTGTGGGATGTATCATGTGGTTCCATTCACCTCCATGGGAATTTAGTGACCTCACCTAAGATTTTAATTTCTTCTGGCCAAACCTTTTGGGGTCTCTCAGCGCTCTTCTGGGTAGGTGTCTGTGCAGAAAGACTAGAGGTACTGCTTTCTGTCTGAAGAAGTGACATCCCCCCAGCTTCTAAGTGACCTAAAATCAGGACCCACCTCTTCTGTTTAGTAGGGCAAGTGTAGTTCAAGGTCAGTGTCATGTAACTTACAAGTTGTTTCTCAGAGGTTGAACTGCAAGCAGGATTGTTATTGCTGGAAGAGTTACGAATCGTGGGGTTTGCTTATTGTTAGGACAGCATAACATTGCACAAATAATCATAAAAAGTTTTAGTGAGGGCTAGGCAGGTAATGCTTGATGGCAGTGGGTGCAGTGATGCTGAGGTTGTAAAACACTGTGTGGCACTGAAGATAGTTTGTTCTAAGGGGAACAAGCTCTCAGCTGCTGCATGTGGTTAAATGTTGATTCTCTGCATGGAGAGTTACCAGCACAGGAAGATCACAGAAATATAGTGTTAAATGGAGAAGGATGAATGAGTTTGTCAAGCATGGTAAGGAGTTAGAGGAGCATTTCAAAGTATGATTCACAAAGAGGAGTTAGACCTTGCTTACACCTTCATGGGATTTTGCTGGCAAACCTAAGCAGGCTGATTCTCTGCAGAAGAAACACATAGCTGTATCTAAACAGGGATTTCTGCTGGACTGCCTATACTGCCTGGGTTTATATTTCACATGCGCAGTCTTTCTTAATCAGTCTTCCAGTATGAGTGAGTCTGCTCTTGTGGCTGGTAGTGCTCTAACTGTTTTGATCAAGGTTTTTGATTTTTACTTTTTTTTACCAAAATGATAGCAGTGCAATGCCTGCTGTGACCAAGTCAGGGCAGCTTGCTAAGCTGTGAGCCCACAGGAGCCTTTTTTTGTTGGTGTAAGGTACCCATGTGCTCACTGGAAGGTATCCTAGTTTAAGCAGTGTAGACAAGACCCCTGCCTTTTCTGGGCTCTGTTGGTGGAGGCTCACTTGTCCTGGAATAATTGTAACTACGCAAGGAGAATTGTATACTTAAAGTAAGATAACTTCTGGATGCAGACAAGGCTTTGAGCAGCCCAGCTGTCTGCTGTTTCAGAATTTAGGGAGCAAGAGAGAAAAGCCAGGGAGGAAACATGTGAGCGTGTGTGGGATGGGACGAGGATTAATGCATCATTGAGCCTCGGCAAATAAACTGAATCACTGAATCTTTAATGCAGATTAATGTCAGATTTCATTAGTCTTTGTTCTTTGCAGAAGCTCGCATACTTGAGTGGATTCATAGAGGTGCAATTTTTTTTAGGTATTTCTGTGTAGATTTTGTTCATTTGTATATAATTATCCCAGAAGCTATATCCATCATGATTTGATAAGCATAATGAAGATGATAGTTTTGCTTGAAGCCTCTTCAGTCACTTACGTTTTGCCAGCTCTAAGACAGATAATCAGATATGTCTGGTGTTGAACCTGAAGAAAGACAAGCTCAGGTCAGAGAGGAAATGTAGCAGATGTGGTGGTTACTGTGCATCTCCTTTCACTCCAGTTCTGTCTAAGCATCTGGACCCTCCCTTGACACTCTCATAATTGTTCATTACAACAGGAATTTATGTGCATTCAATCAAGTTAACAATTAAATGAGTTCACCAACCTTAGTACTGCAAGTCAGATCATGTTGGTAATCAGTAGACATCAGTGCTTCTGAAACCAGTCTCACTGCAACCCCCTTAGGGACAGCAACTGGAAAATGATGGGTTGACTGCAGTCTTTTCTACCACAACACAAGTAAAGCCTGGATGGACACTTCAAATCTAATCAGGTTTAGTTCTCCAAGCTGGCAATGAAACTACTGTCATGTGACCCACAGCATAAGGATAAGTGTGACTCCTTGTGAGTCAGCGTCTTCCCCAAAAAGTGTTAAAACACTTTACACTGGTTTATACAGCCAGACCATTAAAAATCTGCAAGATGCAGAATATGCCCCCACACCTGGGGACCAGTGGCTGTGTTTTCTTGGTTACTCTGGTAACTCCAGGGATCCTGCTTCAGAGAAAGTTTAAGGCTGGCCGGAAGGTTTTGGACAAATTTCAGAATTTTATTTCTGTTTCATGTGCGCTGAAGTAGTTTTTTGTCTTTTCTTTTCTTTTTCTTTTTTTTTTTTTTCTTTAATGGAGCTTGGCAAACCAGTATTCTCACTTCCAAAACTGCAACTTTTTTGTTCTTTCCTTAAACCAGTTTAGAGTAAGAACATGAAACAAGTATTAGTGAGGGTCAAACTGAGAAATTTTAACTTCTTTTCTAATGTGGGAATTACCTTTACCATTTGGAAGTGACATATTTAGCAATGCTGAGGTAAGAAACTTTTTTAAGGATTTTTTAAATAGCAAACATCTAAAACTGTCTTTTACTAATCCAGAAAAGTGTGGCTATGATAGGGCAGCTAGCAGTTTGAACTCTTAAGAATAGCTGCTTGCTAGTAAAAAAAAAAAATAAATAAATTGCTCTTTTCAACTTCCACAAGCCGTTTCTAGGTTATGGCAGAGTTTTCCCTTCAGTAAGCCTGGTCTTCTTACAGAAATGTGCAATCTAATTCTTCAGAAATAGGTGTAAAATGTGTAAAAATGTGTGTGTGTGTGTGTGTGTGTGTGTATGTGTGTGCATGTAAATATATACACATTGTGCAAGTCACCCAACACAATCCTAGTTTTATGTGTAAGCAGTGTATTATATACTGTATTCATAACATACCCTTCACACTACAGATTTATGCTAAAAGTATCCTAATGTTTCTGACAGCTCATGTGTGACATGAATGTAATCCATATTTCTTGGAGGAGCTAATCTAAGTGGTTTATTTTCCAATACTGCTGATAGGGCTATATCTCTAGGTGTCACCGCAGTTGAGATTCTGATGGTAACATATTGTTTATGGGTCACTGCCTTTGTCTAAAAGAATAGGTTGGAACAGAATAGCAAAGGTTAATTAAGTTTGTCTATCAAGGAGGGACAGATATAGATGTCTCTTGTATTTTCTGTGCTAGAATCAAAGTAAGTCAAGACAGGGTATCAGAGACTCGTTTTTCCTCCTGCTGGAAAATATGCTTAGCTGGTTTTAGGAACCAAACAAAGCCACCTTGAGCAGTGCAAGTACAGCAGTAGTTGTGAGGGGTCAGCTCATGGACAGTAGCATTGCAAGCTGGGACAGTCATGGCAACCCTGGTTTACTGCTGAGGAAACTGAGGCAGGAAAGTGTTAAGTAACTTGCCTACAGTCAAACAGCCCACAGGTTACAGAGTGGAGATCCTATGTCTGGATTTCCACCCCAGTGCCCAGCGGATGTTCTTTGTAAATGGCACAAGGGGCAAAATGCAGTTTTATGCCCCCTAAAGCTGGCTTTATTTTTAAGGTCCAGGCAGAAGGAGGAGGCTATGTTAAACCTTTTAACAGAGTTTCTCTGCTGTTTCCATAATTACTGGTTTTGTTTTAGGGCAGGTGTTGGTGAGTTATAGGTGAGACAAAGGGATGGAAAGCCTGGATGAAGTGATTTGTCTGAGATCACATGGCATACCTGTGGCAGAGCCTAAGGATAGTACTTTAATTTCTTCTGTTGCTCTGAATTTTTTGCAGCCCTTGTCATCCAGGATTAGCATCCACGACCTCCTCCTGTTTGTCCTTCTTGGGAATAAGGCCCATAGTCAGGATCACCTGCAGAATGTGAAGGTGCTGCTAAGAGTAACACTGGCTTGCTCACAAGGAGATTGCAGCTGGCAGCTTCTACAAATAAAATAATTACCTAGGTGATGTTTTGTCTGAATAAATCGTCTGGGAAGGGCAGGACCATTTTCTAGTCTCTGAGGCTGGAAGGAGAAGTTAGCCACTCTTTTCTGTCTTTGAGAAGAGAGAAGAGCCACCTCCTCTCCTTGGCTCTTCCTCACTGAAGAAGATGTGTAGAGGTCATGCAGGTGCTCCCAGGAGCTTGAAAGGAGGAGCTAGGCTTTACATTGCTCTTTTGCCAGCTGTTGAGAAAGGTTTTTCACAAGAGTGGTCTAAACTGATGCAACAGCATTTTCTTAATGCTTCCCTGGCATTTGCTACATATTCTGTGACTACTGGGCACTGCTATAGGGCTGCACTGACTGCTGTGCTTAGTGACAGACAAATCCTGCTTCCAGCTTGCCTGTTTGTGAGCAAGCTGTAGTTGCCTCTTGATTCCTCATGTTGGTGTTACAAGGGAACAGGGAAAGAATTTCTACTGCGTGCATGGTCTTTTAATCAGGCCATATTTATTTGTTCATTAGTTATGAGCATCTCACTCTTCCTTGCACTATTTCCTTCAATAAGTTACTGAGTGTGTGCTGTGTTGTACAATTTCGGGGAACCTGTAAGTGTTGAATAGTCCAAATGTGCTTCTTAGATGACCTGTGTCTCCCACTGAAGTCAGTGAGGTACTTGGTGAATCAGTCCTGCAGCTGAGGCAGGGCACAAGGAATGTGTGCCTGGAAGGGGATGCCCTGTAAGTGAGCAACCCCAGTGTTCAACCCAGGAGCTCAACTTGGCTCTCTGCAAAGAGCAAGGGCATGCCCTTCCCTTCCACAGCACTTCCTCACCTAAAATCTGCCTTGTTCTTATGGCACATAGCCTGTGGTGATACAAACTAGAGTGGCTGATGGGGCCGTCCTGGCCCTTGCCTGCCTTGGTCTGGCTGGAGGGCTGGAAGGGGCAAGGGAGCAGGAGGAGACACTAGAGGGGCAGGCATCTCCTCCTGTGGTCCCTGCATGACCCCAGCATTCCTCCAGGACAGGACCCAGGGAAGGATCCCAAACTTGGCACCTGGATGCACTGTTTGGAAGGCCAGACTGCCCTGTGTTAGAAATAATCTTAATATTCCAAGGCCTCCCCAGGGCTGTTTTTACATCTCTTTCTGGCACCCAAAAATGTGCAAGGACTCTCCAGAGCTGCAGGAGTTAATACAGAGCAAATGCCCCTTCTCATGGGGCAGTGGTCTCCTAAGCCCCCTTTTAAATGCAGCACTAAGGTCAAGAATTTTTATGAGTGGTTGTTTTTTTATTGTTACTGTAAAATAGGGTTGCTAAGCAGTATATAAAGGAAACCTTATGGTTCAGATTTACTGTGGTGTGTATTCTAAACAGTTTAATAAAACAAAACCAAAAGCTTTTAGATTTTCTTCGGTAGTTAATACACAGCATATTCTTTGCAGAGCCAAGCCTCTGGCTGTCGGTCAAACTGTGGTTCATAGACTTGGTGTGGGTAATAAGATTATAAAACATGTCTCTTGCTAGCCAGCTACCACACACTAATAATAATAGTAGTAATAATTCATTGCATCCAGAGATTTTAGGTGAGTTGTTTTTTTAAGAAATGGAGAAAAACCCTAAAAAAAGGTTTGAAAGGAAACAGGTCACTGCATCCACTCTGAAGGGAGAGGAGACATGTACATGATTGTTTCAGTGCCAGGGAGTTATCCCTCTGTTTTGTTACAGCACGAAAAATGTCTCCTGCAGGCGACCTTTTCTCGGTTGTACATGGAGATAGGAGGACCATGGATGCTGCCTGCAGCTCTGCCCCGCCAAGGGACAGAAGATGATGTTTGCAAAACATCAGACAGAGAGGAGTTTGCTGACTTTTTTACCACAGTAATTCTAGAGCTGTGGACCTTTGAGGATGCGCGGATTCAAAATGACTTTTGGGCAGTTTGTATTACCAGTCCATAATTTCAGGACAGAGGCAGCCCGGGTTTTGTTGAGGGAGTCTCTGCAAAGCACAGATGTCTGTTTCCAAGAGGAGACTACCCTTTTTCAGAACAGCAGAGAGGATGTCAATGGCTCTTTTGAGTTCAGGCTTCCTTGGGATGACAGATTAAATTTTTTTAAGAGCAATTTACTGTTTATCATGGATGAAGCTTCAGTGCATGCTGAACTTTTTCTGCATGCATAGGGTGCAGATGGTAGAAAAATAGCATTTTAAGTATCGATTTAATTTACAATAGAAAAACTCCTACTTTCACAGACTAAAAGCGTGTCGTGGTGATCTCAGAACATGTGCAAATATGTGCAACTGTGCTGCCATCGGAAGATGGGCAGAGGTGCACTTTGCTTCTCATAAACAGCCACCGCTCTCTCTCAGCACTTAACCTCGCTGCACACCTGGTTCCATGTAGAAATTGGGGTGTTCCATTCTGTCTCAGAGAGCACAGGTAGGATTTTATGTGATTTTGACCACATTATTTCCAGCTAGGCATAGTAAAATGAATATTGAATTATTAAGGGGACCCCTGGAAAAGAAGGGGTGACTGCATTCTGACTACTTTGCTAGGAGGTGCCAGTGACTCCTGGGACTCCCTGGGGGTCCACTGGCATGGGCAGCCAGCTGGGACAGCAGGTTTACCCCCCTGCCTCTGCTGCTCCCCACGTCTGGGCTTTGCAGCCTAGGAAGGGCTGAGGAGCAGGGCTTGACACACGGCTGGCTGGGACCCAGGGGGAACCACAGTGGAGCAGGCAGAGCTCCACTTCTGCCTGCAAAGACAACATCTGATGGCATAGCTAGGCATGCATTACAGTTGGCACTGCTACCTTTATACCTGGTACAAAACTTTTATGTTTTTTCTCAGCCCGGAAGCTTTCACGATCATTTAGTGCTCAGCAGACTTAGGGAAACCAGGCAGTGTTACCTTTCCTATTGAAAATCCTAATCTTGTTAAGTGTTTGGCTGCATTTTTTTGGAGCTCTGTACCCACACTACATTGTAGCGCTTTGGAACAAAGATGGTATTTCTTTCATAAAACAGATGAAAAGATGGTATTTCTTTCATAAAACAAAAATTTAAAAAAGCAGGACAGCCTCTCTGAGGAGATGAGTTTGGATTATCTCAGGGCATAGGAATAGGATAAACTGTAATTTCTGAGTGCTGCCAACTTTGCTGCAGGCTGTGGGAGGGAGAAGGGTTTGTCTGGTGGACACCATGCTGACACAGTGGACCTGCTGGCTGGTGTCCAGCTTTGGCTCCACCACAAGGTTCCTGTGTAGTCTGTCCACAACTTAGTTTCTCTGGGTAAATCAGGAAAATATTTTTCCATCTCACTGGGTTGTAAGAAAAGCGATGTGTTTGTCTGTGTGTGTCACTGCTCAGACACCGTAGGGCATATCCTGAGTTGGGCGGTAGGACCGTCCTCCTTAGCCACTTCATAGGTCCCTGGCAGAGCAGTTGCCACCAGTCTGAGATGAGTTTGTCTCTGAGGAGGTGTAGGGACTGTATGGACACTTCACCTCTTACACTGGCTGGGTGCCTGCAGTTGAAGGGGCTTGGAAAGCTTCCTGTGGTGTTGTCTGTGTCGTAAGCAGGGGACTTGCCAGGAAGCTCCTTGCAGTGAAGAGTACCTGCTTGTGTGCCAGATGCAGCTTCACCTGAGCAAAGATAAACCAGCCGTAGGTATGCTGGTGCTGCTGCTGCTAGGTCTCATCCCATGCCATGCCAGCTCACCTGTAGCTGAGTGGTGTGGGCACACCGTGAACCAACCAAAGCAAAAACCCAAGGCCAGCGTGTCAGGATTTTACTTCCCATCCACCTTGGGTGACCTCCTTCAAAGCCATGTGCATGTGAGGCGGGGGGCTGCCCGCGTGGTGCCAGGGCTCAGCGTTCACAGGCTGCTGTCACACTTCTCTCTCTGACAGGTGAAGGGCATGGAGAGCTGCCACGCCGTCAGCTCCCAGTACCGCATGTACTCCTACTACCCACCCGCTTCCTACCTGGGACAGGGGGTTGGCGCTCCCACCTGCCTCCCCCAGATCCTGACCTCTGAGGACATCCCCTCCTACTCGGAGTCAAATGTGAGAGGTAAGTGCACCCACTGGGGCATCTGGGACCGCCTTGCCTTGGGGCAAGCGCCCAGGAGGTGTGGGTTGCTGCTGGGAAGAAAGCTAGGCATCAGAAAGTAGGTGTTTACAAGGTGGTGGCTGTTTTCTGGAAGGCTTGTAGTGTGGTGGCAATGTGGAACTGTTACTGTACAGTAGTGCAAGCTTGTACCTCAGAAATCGATGGGACAAGGAGCAATGGGTGTAAGCTGGAACACAGGAGGTTCTGCTTAAACTTGAGAAAAAACTACTTTACAGTGAGGGTGACAGAGCCCTGGAACAGGCTGCCCAGGGAGGGTGTGGAGTCTCCTTCTCTGGAGACATTCAAGACCCGCCTGGACGCCTTCCTGTGTAAAATTGTTTAGGTTCCTGCTCCGGCAGGGGGATTGGACTAGATGATCTTTCGAGGTCCCTTCCAATCCCCAACATTCTGAGATTCTGTGATTCTGTGAAATCTCATGGTTCAGTGTGTGATTAGTTGTACCTTTCTGCTCTTGTGTATGTCTCTAAGCTATAGAAAGAGTCATCTGAGGTGCCATCTTTGGTGCTCACCACCTGACTCCTTCACAGGAACAAAGAATTAACTTTGCCCCAACCACAGAATTCTCCTTTATCTCTTTCTTCTCAGAAATGCTGTCCATTATTTTTTCAACAGGCCTCCCACTAGGCCTTTGATGTCCTTGTCTTTGTGAACCACATGTGGGAAATATTCCTGCATCGCAGCCATGTTGTGAAGCCCTTTGCAGACTTGCTTCCTTGTTTGCTTTCAAACTAATCACACCGTGTTACTTAATTTAAAACTACTGCAGGTAATTTTTTCTTTTCATATACAGTGTTTCTTGGCAGTCCTATAGATTACTATAATCTGCAGTAATTTCCAGGAAATAGTTGGTGAATTTACCCTGTGGTTTTCACAATGTTTCTCTTGCTTCCTTTTTCCCTTGCTCCCGTAGCAAGTAGAGTACACACACGGGGGTTAACATGGCCCTGATGGAGTAGACCAACTCCACTGCTTCCCTGTCCCTGGATGAGGACAGTAACTAATGTTAGAGAAACAATAAGAGAAGCAGAGAAAGAGTAGGGTAATCCTACTTTGTATGTCTAAAATCCTCACACTCCTACAGCATTCAAAGCTGTCCTCAGCTGCTAATTGCTGCTGAGCCATCATTTCAGTCACCAGCAGCAGATCTGCACTCCATGAATTGAGCTAACCCTCGAGAAGCTTTTCACACTTTTTTCTCTCTGTAGTGCAATGAATTTGGCAGTTTTATTTTGTATGGTCCATGGGAAGTGTTTCTTTTTGTTTACTTTACACTTGCCAAATTTTTGTGTGTGGTTTTTGTTTTGTTTTGTTTTCCAGAACAGAGTGACACCACTGGCAAGAGCATCCATCCTTATTTGCTTCTCTGATGCACTTAGACACTGAAAATAGTCTTCTCCTCTCTGTATCTGATGGAAGGATGTATGTTGCGTAGGTTCCATAATTGTTTGCATTCATGGCCTTTCTGTGGCCGATGTCTGTCCTGATGTCCGTTGCATTTGTGTTGTGATGAAAAATACAGTGGTTGTGTCATGACAGGACCTTAAGGACTCAAGTGGTTTTGGAAGGTGAGGTGTGTACAAAGTCATTCCTGTGGCTAGTGTAAATCAGCACAGAGCCCCTGAATTCAGTAACTCCAGAATTATTTATGCTGAGGAGGTGGCTGCTCCTGCAGAGTGTTTTCTGAAAGTCTTCCAACTAAGTGTGACATATCAGATAGATGAAGAAACAACATGTGGTGTGATGAAACCTTAGACTTTTCCTCCTTCCCCAGTAGTTTTAAATGGCTTCGAGAAATCAGTGATCCTTGGTTCATTTTCCTTCTCTTTTATTCAGTTTTGTTTTCTTCCCTCTTCTCTGACCACCACTGAACAGTGACGTCTTCCTTTCTGCCCATTGGTCAGAGAAGCAGTTGGCTTTATGCTCAACTGCAGTTGACCCTTTTTCTTGCATCCATCACTACTAACTCACTAAGAAGTCTTACCAGTCGAGTGTTCTTACAAATAGACAAAAGACCTTATACCCTTTGTTCCCAAATGCACTTCAGTAATTTTTCATCACTCTAGAAAAAAGTTGTGCGTAATGTGCCACTGATTTTTAAACTGCATAAATACTGTATTTTCAATAACCCCTGACTGCTTCTCCAGACAGTATTCCACACACAGATATTGTTCCCTAAGTTACACCATCAATCAGAAACCGACAAGCAGTGAGATGTAATTTACTGAGATCAAACAGCATTTTCCAGACTCTGAAGAAGTGTTTTTCCATAGCAGGGAGCTAGTGGGTGAAAGAGGCACCAATGTTTTTGTGAGAAACTTCAGCATGTGAGCAGGAACATACCCATTTAATGGGCTTCTTGGAAGCATCTTCTTTTCCATTATGCATGTTCTTGGAGGAGATAACGCTTTTCCTTTTTCAGTCTGCAGACAAAATAATGATCTCAGGCTGTTAATCAATGATTTAGACTCCTGTAAGGTTTTTCGTGTGGTACTTTTCACAGTCCTCAAAGGGTCTGAGGTTTTTTGCCTCTTTATTGTCATCTGAGGGAGTGCTGAGTCAGCCAGCAGGCTCTGATCTGTGGATCTTGCGTATTAAAGAGGGTGGTCCATTCCCCCGGACTACAGACTGCCTGTGCTGCAAGTGCTGTCTTGTACAAAAGACACATCTTTATGCATTTCTCCATTGATTGTTGGGATGAACTTTCTGTACAATGCCTGACTGCTTTGTATGAAGCCTGGTGACATGTTTGTGCAAGGTTAGTGGTTGCTGCTTGCTAAATACAACTCTAGTGCACGTTTTAAATAGATTATTCATATTTTACCTTTTCTGCACTTGAAGTGGTAACCATGCTCAGAGACTTTTTGTCTTTCTGAGAATACATGTTCATAGAATTTAGGTCTAGAAGGGAACATTAGGATCATCTAATCTTACTTGCTATATAATGGAAACTGTAAAACTTCATGTAGTAACTCCTGCAGCAATCCCATAACTAATTTTTTTCAAGATCTGTGTGAAGATTTATGTATTGTTAATCCAGAAATTTTACAGGAAGTTACTGTGCCTATAGAAGAGCAACAGGTCAAAATAAAAAACTAATTTTGCAGCCAGATTTTCAAAACATCAGAAACATGTCTCTTTAACAGAAATGATTGTTAAATTCCCAAGCACAAATCTGAGATGGTCTTAAAACACATGCAGTCTGTTACCCACACTTCAGTTGTAACTTCAGCTATATAGAGGTTTTGCCAGTCCGTGTATTACCTCAGTTAGTATTTCAGTCAGACTATTTCATTAATTTTGTTCTGCTAAGTTAACTGCCTGCTTAGACGAGTTATATTGAAAGGGCAGAGAGATGAGCTGGCAAACCACTGATTTACACTTTCTTTGTTTCTGTGAATGATGCAAAGTTCTCAGGAAGCTTCTGACATATGTACATGAGGTCGTATCGTGTTACAGTGTGTTGCATATAGTAATGGGCTGACATTTTCTGAACGGCAGAACACCATCATTCACCCTCCTTGCAATTTGAAGTGGTTCTAAGTAAAATGGTTTTGCTTCCAACTAAGCACAGCTGCTGCCCTTCCAGCTGAAACTTGAAAAAATAGGGAGAAAAAGAAGCTATACCAGTGACAAATGGCAAAAGTATGTTTTCAGAGGGCTCTCTTATCACCAGATTGTAAGTTTTATATAACAATTTCTAGGCAGGAAGGGGGTTTTGTATGCTGTACTTTCAAAAGATTTTTCCTCTCCTTTTTTTCTGTAAGAGCAAATGTCTTATTCCCATCGATTTCTGTAGGACAGTTGCTTCTTTTTTTCTCTCTTTCTCTCTTTCTCTCTTTCTCTCTTTCTCTCTTTCTTTCTCTCTTTCTCTCTCTCTCTCTCTCTCTCTTTCTCTCTCTCTTTCTCTCTTTCTCTCTCTCTCTCTTTCTCTCTTTCTCTCTTTCTCTCTTTCTCTCTTTCTCTCTCTCTCTTTCTCTCTTTCTTCCTTCCTTCTTTCCTTCCTTCCTTCCTTCCTTCCTTCCTTCCTTCCTTCCTATGGAGCTTTTTCAGGTTTGGATCACTGCACAAAACTGGGTAATGCCTTTCACTGATGTAGAATCAGCCCCTCCTGCGCTTACATTTGTGAAGTAGCTGCACAAGACCTTGGTTTGAGAGAGCAAGAAATCACATGTTTGGATCAGGACTTGGTGCCTTGCTCTGGGTCTGATTTCCACTGAGTAAAAGTTGAGCATTTGCTTACCTTTATGGGAGCACTTTCCACGTCTGGGACAGTGGCAGAAAACTGTAACATTCAACTAGAAGGATGTAACGGAGAAACATCCCTGTATTTGTAGGCACCTTTGACTTTAAAGTAGTTACCTTGTCTTAAAATTGTCATGGAATAAGAACTCCTCTTTGTCTTATTATGTGAAATGTTGAGATAATTATTCTGTGTGTCTGTGCCCGTGGTGAAGGAGGTGGTTTGCATTTAAAATGTTGCTCTAGCTGCTGAATGGATTTGAATTTTTATTTTCCTAAGTGTCAGGATAGTTGGAAACATAAGTAATGAAGTACTGGTGCTGTATTTGCAGCTTAAACATAGAATCATAGAATGGTTAGGATTGGAAGGGACCTCAAAGATCATCTAGTTCCAACCCCCCTGCCATCAGCAGGGACACATTCCACTAGACCAGGTTGCTCAAAGCCTCATCCAGCCTGGCCTTAAACATAAGCAGGAGCCTAAAACATAAAGCAGGAGCCTAAAACTTCTCCCAAACACAAATACAAAAAACTGATATAAAGTATTCATTTTGATACAAAAAAGGTCAACAGTTTTGTGTAAATCAGAAAACACCACTTTATGAAGGAGAACATTTCTGGTAAAAGGTTTTTTTGACAGCAGAACAGCTGCCAACACTTGCAAAACACTTTTTCACAGCCCTTTCTAGAAGTCAAATAAC